TGTTGCGAGGTTTTTAATTACTATTACTTCTATCACTTGTCACAGATCTCTTCAGAATTTCATATCTTCTTGAATCACTTTAGGTAGTTGTGGTTTTTTAAACTTTAGGTAGTTTATATGAGTCTAGAAACTGTCCATTTTTAGAAATTCTGTTTATGTGCTTCCAGAAATTAATCTCACTTGTTGGAATGTGATTATCCATAACAATGTTATGGTTATTTTATTTTTATATGGCTATTTAAAGACTCAACCTTCATTTCTGCTTTAGATATTTGCATACTCTTTTCTCTTTTTTGGAGTTTAGCTAAAGGTTTATTTTTATTGAGTTTTTCAATACAACCCAATTTCTGCTTCCATTGATTTCTGCTGTGATTACTGTTCTTTTCTTCCTTCTGGTAGTTTTGAGCTTAATTTGTTCTTCTTTTTTCACATTCCTTAGTAGGCCAGCTTTGGTTATTGAATTGAGAGCTTTCTTCTTTTTCAATATATTTATGTATTTTTCTCTTAGCACCACTTTCATGGAATCCCACCAGTTTGGGTATGTTGGACTTTATATTTCATTCAACTCTAAGCTTTTTACCTCTCTTAATATCTTTGCTGACCCATTGGTTGTTCATTAGTGTATTGTTTAATTTCCACCTCTGGGAGTTATTTTTCAGTTTACCTTATGTTATTAATTTTAGTTTCATTCTTTTGGTAGAAGGTTCTTTGTATGATTTTAATCTTTAAATTTCTTTGTGAGTTTCCAAGACCATAACTCTTTATGAGCTTAGAGGGCCCCCATTTTCTCCCGCTGAGCAGCTGGTAGTTTCAAACTGCTGACTTTGGGGATCACAGCCCAACATGTAACCAGCATGCCACCAGGGTTTTTTATATAGTTATCATAACACATATTTATCCATTATTGGTTCAATAGCATACATTTATCATTGCAGTTTCTGTATTTGTCTCTTTGCTATAGGGTAGGACACAACACTAACACTGCAAATCAAAAACATCACAAACGGCCCTTCTCTTTGCCTATTATCGTTGAGATTTTTCTTTTGTATGGCCAAGTGGTTATGCACTGGGCTGCTAACTGCAAGGTCAGCAGTTCAAAACCACCAATTGCTCGGCAGGAAAGGAGGGTTTCTACTGCAAGACTTACACTCTCAGAAACCCAGAGGGGCAGTTTTATCCTGTGCCATAGGGCCACTATGTGTGAGTGACAATTGACCACATGGCAGTGAGTTTGGGTTTGGTCTTTACAATGTCACCTGGGGAATAGCCTTTGCATTTGTTCTAGCACAGGTAGAGTCAGCACAAACTCCTTTTGTTTATCCAAGAATGTCCTAATTTTATTTTCAAAATTCTTAATACTTTTGCTCATTAAAAAAAATCATTTTATTGGGGGCTCTTACAGCTCTTCAATTGTATCAATCAATCAATCATATTTATACATATTTGCTATCATCATTTCCAAAACATTTTCTACTTGAGCTCTTGGTATAAGCACCTCTTTTTTCCCTCCTTCCTTTCCCTCCCATCCTCATGAATCCTTGATCAATTATATATTGTTATTTCATATCTTACACTGCCCGTTGTCTCCTTTCACCCACATTTGTTATTCATCCCCTTCTGGGGATGAATATATATCCAACCTTGTGATGGGTTCTCCCTTTCTCCCCCTTTGCCCTCCCCGACCACTCCCTGCCCCTCATGATATTGCTACTCCCACTA